ACCTTCGTTCGCTCCTTTCCTGCTGCAAGATCATGTATGACCTGCTCTGAGCCCTGTTTAATCCCATGTCAATATTCACGACCTGTAACAACACGGATGAGCCTAGATGTGTTAGATACGACTCCGGACTGCAAAATACAACAACCCAGGATGTGGAGTATTTTGGAGATCCAAAGCCGCTACTTTGACTTTGATGGTGAAATATTTGGTGAGGCCATAAGAGACTTTGACCATTCAGAGATTTCGTGGAGCCAAACCAATCAAAACCCTGTCTACCTCTCCTCTTTAAATATCATCAGGACGAGGGAATGAGAGAGCGTCTTGTGGCATGCGGTAGAAAGTTTGTCTCTATAATGAATTCTTATCATTGTTAATACGATGGTGTTGCGTTCTATCTAGAGAATCAAGAGTTGAAACGAGTTTCTGTCGAAGGCAGAATCATGCTGTCTTGCTTCGCGAACTGCCCTGGCTACCCAAAGCTGCAGATCGAAAAGTCGACGACGTCTTTGATATACGGGCTGGATCCAACGGAGATGGAGCAAGAAAATCAACTAACCTCAGTCATACATTGCTCGGGTTTGCTCTAACTATTTCAAATCGCCACCCATTGGAATGCGACGCCTCCGCTTGACAATGTGGATGTATTTGCACACAGACGTTCTTCTCTGCAGCTGGAGAGAAATCGTCTTGTATCCATCTTTCTCCGGCGTCTCGAGTATTAAAATGAAACACTCTTTCTCACCCACTAATCCAGTGAGGGATTTTGACGCTGCAATTCTGAAATGAGTTAATCTCAAGTTGCAATATCGTGGTCTGAATTATACCGCAAGGAAGAGGATGATCCTTCTTAACTTTCTGACTACAGCAGGCAGTGAGATCAATGAGGAGGATCTGAACTGTTTTGCAGGCGTGAAGCTGAATGATCGACAGGTGATAGCCTGTACGACAGAATCAAATGAGCCATGAATAGTACCTCCTTATATAGGCACGTTCGGTAGTTTTTAGACCGGGTCAAACCAGCAAGTTTCTTGTTAAGTCAGACTCTTCAGCCATACTCCAGACTTATCTAGTCAACAATCCGTAGGCGCTGACACATCTCCACATGGGCTTCATAAATTCGTCGCTGGCCCAGCAGCCCTGTGTGGCCTATCGAGAGCGTAGACCAGCCGTTGGTTAGGTTTAGCAACGACCAAGGAACCAACGCTTTTGAGGACGTAATGTCGAACGAGATGTTCTCACGTGATAGTTACATGAACACACTCCCAGCCTCCCTTAGACGGTCCACTTAAAAGCAATATTTCTTCAAGATCTTGACCGTCCCTAGTGGACGACATCCTTTGGCTGAAACTGTGGTTATCCCTACTGCTGCCCCTATTCCATTCTTACCATGCTTCTTTTTCTCTGAAATCATGGCCTGCCTCATTCGTCACCACTTTTCTTCATGGGTCCATGGCTATCCCCACTCCCTGTAGTCTTCCTACTCGTGTTCGGTGCTGTTTTGGCAAACATGGGCCATAAATAGTGACCGACCCTGTTCATGGTTCATGCTTGATTTATTAAAGTTCATTCATTGTTCTTTCTTTGGAGAGTGATTTTTTGGGCCGGGATCTAAATACCATCTCAAATCCTGTAATGAAAGGAGGATGGCTTTCACAGTTTATTATTTTAGCTGACGGCGGTTTTTCTCAAGGATACAGGAAATGGCATCGTCGGGGAATCGACTACGTCGCTGACTGCGACTATAGAAGTTATCTCTCAAATGAATAACAGGGTCGCGATATCATCTATCTTGGTGTTTTTCTCATCCAGAGTATAAAAGACTCCCTTGGTCCAAATGATAAATAGAAATTTTAAAGATCAAGTCCTGAAAATGCAATATAAAAGTTGCGTTCTCAACTGTAATTTGTAGCAAAAGGCCACAAATTCTCCAAAACTCGTGGCCTTGAAGTCGCTATTAATGTCGTACGTTCTCGCCGTAGAGCTTAGATGCATCGCTCATGCTTCACATTTCCACATTGACACTATAATCGTTTATTAGCTGCCAGTTAGAATTCTGACAAAGCACTAGAAAGCTAATTGATCGATGAAATTGAAGCACCCAAAATTATTCAAGAAGTGTATGGAAGTTGCGAAGTGATGGGAAATTCTGACAGTCGGCGGCGTAACGCGTTGCCTTCATCTAGAATAAGAAAACTTATGATAGAGCCCATTCAATATCTTTGCAGGACGCCGTAACGTTCAAAAAGTGGTCCCCGCTGACGGCCAGTTACCCTGGGGGACACCACATCGTTCAAAATGTTGGCTTTCCCTGGATATCCAGTTTCCTTTGGGGGACACCACATCGTTAAAAAAAAATAGTAGCCTCCCCTGAATGATCAGCTTCCTCTGGTGAAACACCACATCATCCGAAAATGTCGCCTCCCTGGAGTTCCAGCAACACCATAACGTGAAGAGCTTGCAGAGGCTGGGAGGAGGATATAAAGCCTCTGGTGCAGGATGCAATTGGTGATGCCGTCAGCACCAAGGGGCCTTGTTCGGGGAGGCTCTATGCACTACCTTCTTGATCTTCGCCGTGTTAATATTCCGGGCATTCGATGGGTGAAGTATATTCGTATCCTTCAATGGCTGAGAGATGCTGTTCGAATGTTGTTATGTTCCCCTTTTTTTCTTTTTTTTTTCTTTTTTTCTTTTTTTTTTTTTTTTTTTTGGTTGCACGATGTGTCGGAAACATGTGTCATCGATGCTGAACACTTTGCAGCATTCCATTCCCGAATGCGGTTCCGAGCAAGTTGCCGTCAAGCAGCTGAAATATATCCTATGCGATTTACCACCTAATGGACCAAGAGAGGATTTATATACGGTCTGGGTGCTCTGTGCAGTACGTTGTGCATACTAATCTGACAAATCGAATATTGAAAATGCGCCATCCAGCATCGTTTAATACATATGGAAATGTGGCTAGACTATCTGTATATTGTAAGAATAGCCAAATTCTGTCGCTGCTTCTGGCCAAAGAAGAACCTGATGGACCAGTAGACGACTCAGAAGAGAATCGTAACGCCATCACAAGACGTTGGATTGCTTATGACCAATGTCTTGTTGATCTTCCTATACTCCGCGTGTCATTCGGCCGAGCCTTTCAGAACATGCGTAACTAATATTCTCTTCCGCGAATTAGCTGACAGACATACTGATGATATCAACATCCGTCATACATAGTATAATTTTTTATGTGCTTTCAGCCGGCATGTAAGGACGGCAAAACAGCTTTCTTTGGTTTTGGCTTTTGGCTTTCCTTGCCCAATTTGGACAATTTTTCTGGGTTGAACATCGCGATCGAGTTATAGAATGCAACGTATTTGCTTTGTACCAGGAGCTAACAGAAAATTGCGGAGAGAATAAATGAGGTTTCTTGCCAGTAGAAATCGAATACAGTGTAATTAGCATCAGAATGCTTATATCAAGCCCCGTCCCATGCCATTTCATATCAGATATGAACTAAGGATTTTCCAACACGGGAAGTTAGCCGAGCCCTTGAAATATCAAACGGAGACAGATTGATTGTTAACTGTAGCTAGCTGTGTATTTACGTACGCGATTCCGCTATTCTTCGTTTTTATTTCGACTTTGCAGCTCTGAGCGACATCAGAGGCTTCAATAGAGCCTGCCCTTCAGTATAAATCATGGCTGGTAGAGCCCAGCCGGTGGCGTTGACTATTTACCCAAATAGCAGCTGTCCATTCTCTCATCCCTAGCTGTAACTAATGATTCCCACAGCAGTATCAGATGTGAATTCATGCGTTGCGAGCCAGTTGATATTAGCCAAATCTCGTATCATCGCGAAGCGAGAAGGCTGATTGCTTTAATTCACCTTTGTAATAGTCGATAGATGATGCTGTTGATGAGCGAGGAACGTTATACGTCTTAGCAGCGGACTAATGCTTGAAATTAGACCAGTAGAAAGCTATATATTCCGACTCCCAATTGTCCAGACCGACCCCAGTTAGAAAAACGGCAGCTAAAACCTCCATGCTCGGCTGCTGGCTGACCGTCACATCGTTGAATGGAGCGTATTTTCAACTTTTTAACTATTACTATAAATCTGATAAAAACTAAAAAATATAATAACTACGGAGCCGTACATAAAAACATAATTAAAATTTAAAAAAACTTAATATTTGCTGATATATTTATAAAAAATTACTATGAATTTATTTTCAACTTATCATTTATAAAATTTTAATATATATATCAAATATGTAGCAATTCATATTATTTCTTCATTTGTATATATATTTGAAATGCTGTTATAGCGATATTTAGATTTAATCTTCTCTCTGTATTAGCTTTACTGAAGTGGGTATCTTTTCGGCTGGGAGAGTGGAGCTCTGTCTATTTGAATTCAATCCCATCTTCTTTTCTCGACGTCAATAACAAAGTGTTGAGTCTATCTTAGACCTAGATAGCGGGCTCTTGCAACTGGGACTGGAAACCTGCTGAGGTTTGTTCTGATTTATGACTGCGAGGCAATTAATTATCTTGCTTAGCATCGATTGGAGCATAAAAGTTAACCATCTCATCCAGGGAAGGGGGAAGTATTTCAAAATCTATACCGTGTGGACGGAATAGAAACATGAATGCTCCAAAGTAAAAGAGTGTAAAGAATGTAAGAGAGCCTTCCTTGTGTTTGCACCAATAGGTGACAACATGCCAGTCCTACAGATATCAATTCAAGAGCAAGTCACTCCCCGCCAATTTAACGTGGAGAGTGACTTGTGCACTCTCATCAGATTACAATACAGCTACCCTTTCCAGCCAAACGATATTCATAAACGCACCGTGCCACCAGCAAATCCGATGTAACGTATCGTAAAATGTGTAATTTACTCAAATTGAAGTGGTAAAAAATATAATTAATTAAAAAAAAAAAAAAAAAAATCCAAACCTTAACTGCTTCTTTTGGGGGTACACAACTTCAACCCCTCCTGATCTTCAACTTGCTTCACCGCCGCATGTCATCTCGCTCTCTCCCATCCCTCACTTCATTTCTATATATCCCCTCGTCCTCCTGCTCCTACATACCTCGTCTCCGTTGTCTCAGTACTTTCGTCCTTCGTCCTCCTATCCAACAAATCCGCAGAATGAGCGAGCTCACACACCCCACAATCAAAGGTGCGTTTGTTCCTCGTCCTTTGGGTGCTGGTTTTTCCAATCCCCGCCTGCTTCCTCCCTAACTTCCCTGGAAATGGTGACATGGGGTTTTCAGTATTACAATTCCTTTTAAAGAGCGCATAACGGGCTACAATATAAGCTAACACAGGACCTCCTCCAGATGGCTGGTTTTCGGAAATTTCCGATATGTGGCCCGGCCAGGCCATGACGCTGAAAGTTAACCAGATCCTGCACCATGAGAAATCCAAGTATCAAGATGTCCTGGTCTTCGAGAGCAGTGACCACGGCACAGTCCTCGTTCTGGATAACGTTATCCAATGCACAGAGCGCGATGAATTCTCGTATGTAGCACGGGCCACACATGCCCAGACGACACGGAGCCAATACCTCTCCCACGATGTTACTGTGACGCGATTGGCCGATTAATTTCCTGTCAATTAACTAGATACCAAGAAATGATTACCCACCTCGCCATGAACTCTCATCCTAACCCCAAGAAAGTCCTTGTCATCGGTGGAGGTGACGGTGGAGTTCTCCGTGAGGTCGTCAAGCATGAGACTGTCGAGGAGGCTATTCTGTGCGATATCGACGAGGTAGGCGGATCTCTTCCTCGAACAGAGTGCAGAACGAGATAGAGAAAGCAGAAAACCTTACGAAAGATAATCTCAATAAATACAGGCCGTCATCCGCGTCTCGAAAAAGTACCTGCCAGGGATGAGCGTTGGCTTCCAGCACCCCAACGTAACAGTCCATGTGGGCGATGGCTTTAAGTTCCTTGCGGACCGCAAGAATGAATTCGACGTGATTATCACTGACAGCTCAGACCCAGAAGGGCCTGCGGAGGCTCTGTTTCAGAAACCATATTTCGAGCTGCTATTCAACGCCCTGCGTGAAGGCGGTGTTGTTACGACTCAAGGTTGTTCGTCGCCATCTCCTTCCCCAGTTCTGCACGTGTGATTGCTACCCTTAAAAAAAGAAAAAAGCACCGCACAATGAAACATGCACACAAAATGCACATGGCCTTTAACACACCCGGAGGCGCATCCATGTATACGTCCTTAAATGGATGTTAATAGATGCCCTTCACCCCTTACCCCACCCACCGCGTCACCTCCATCGCCTCACCTCACCCCCATTCCCCCTCTCCAAAACCTTCCACACACCCCTCCAAAAACCAGATTACTAATCCCACCCTCTTCTCCTTTTTTTCCTTCCTCAACAGCCGAAAATCAGTGGCTTCACCTGTCTCTCATCACCGAACTAAAACGAAACATCCGCGAGATCTTCCCTGTGGTCGAGTACGCCTACACGACAATCCCCACCTACCCCTCGGGCCAGATTGGGTTCATGGTCTGCTGTAAAGATTCGAGCAGGGATGTACGCGAGCCCGTGCGAACCTGGACGCGCGAGGAAGAGGAGAAGTTGTGTCGTTATTACAACAAGGAGATTCACCGGGCGAGCTTTGTGTTGCCGAATTTCGCAAGAAAGGCGTTGGAACAGTGAGGGATGTAAGTTGGGGATTGATTTGAGGTTAGGATTTAGTTAATTAATATTTAGCTAATCAAACTTATGATATTATGTGGATGGGATGCATGGGCGGGTTAATTGGGTTGGTAGATTGGGAGATTGATCGGGTTTGTTTGGGGGGGGGGGGGGGAGGATTCTGAAAATTCCATGGAAACGGAAGCGGATATGCAGCATACTTATGCCGTTATGACGAAGTGAGATGGGTGAACTGGTCATTAGAAATATTATATAGAAACCAAAGCGCACAGAGGGCGGGAGATTCGATCAATCTATAGATATTTTACCTCTCAAACTCGAATTAGGTAGATCAGATCAGATCGAATCGAAATTATTAGAATCAATGCATTGCGCAGGAAACCCTTATCCCTCTTCAATAATAAGCCTTTTGATTTCAAATAAGGGTTCCCTACGAGAAGGGGAATACAAACTAAACCATTTCCATTACCCTTTATTTTTTATTTATTTGTTTTTGAGGTAGTTATTCATTACTGGATTGGAGAGGACTCTGGAACAAAGGCATCATTATACTCCAGAAGTCCTCTGGTAGGTTCAATGGATGGAATCCACAGATTATCTGTGCTGGACAAAGCGTGTTTTGTGAAGCGTAACAATAGCAGCGTCATATATTCTAAATTAATGAGCTTTCATAGAAAGCAACCCCAACTGTTGATGGTTGGTAAAGTGATCTCCACATTTAATGATGAAGGAGGGGGGGGTATGGATCGGATAAAAGGGGAACAAGAATAAGCCAAAGCCGACGCACATGTATCGTCACCCCCGCCTATTGACAATTAGTTGACAAGATCGATATGGATCAAGAGAGCTAGGAAAGGAATAATCCAAACTATCCCCTATTATTGTTGTGTTTCCTATTGAGGACAAGATAGTACCCCTCAAGTTTCCCAACCCGTATAAGGGTGAGCGTGAACATGAGCACAAATATGCAGACAATTTACTTCATATTCTGCGTTTTGAAGCATTGAAAACTAAGAAACATCTAAGAGTCTATGCAGGTCAAAAATAATAGGGGAAATTTCAAACAAGGTGCAGATTGGGTAGGGAATATCAAACCCGAGAATAAATAAATATAAGAAAGAAAAAGAAAAAAAAAATAAATTTTTTTTTCATCGTCCACTGCTCTTGAGACGATTTCTGTTACTCTTATTCATCTTTGAGTTTAATGACCTATGGCACCGTAACTTCCTGTCGGCACTGAAAAAGATTTGTGCTTCTTGATTAATTTAGTGTTCTTCTTTTTACTTGAAGATGTTGAAATTTTCTAACGATATGTTCATATTAGATGATTTGCGGGAAAGCACGGCTGATGGGTGAGAGGACCGGAGAGCCCTTGTAGAACTCGATGGTAGCGACAGCACGCTTGCTGATCCCCTCAGGGGTGAATTCGAATTTCTGAAGAGGGATATTAGTCTCTGGTTCTGAAAATTTTGGGCATGGGTGAGCTCATATTGTGATAGTCGAGAGATTGCTCACCTTGTAAACTTCCTTGTAAGGGCCAGAGGCACCGAAGCGGTTCAAACCGAACTGCTCATGAGAATACCGGTCCCAGCCAAGTGTGCTCATGACCTCAACAGACATGGATGGAATGCCGTCAGGGATAACAGATAGCCTATATTCCTTGTCCTGGACATCAAAGACCTCGAAGCATGGGATGGAGACAACGCGAGCGAGAATGTTGTGCCTCTCCTTGAGATATTTGGCGGCGTCAATGCAGAGGCTAACTTCTGAGCCTGAGCTGACGAGGGTGATGTTGGCGTTTGCGGTCTCCAGAGTAACGTATCCACCGCGAATGGCCTTTTCGATGCTGGAGGCTTCGAGCTGCGGCAGGTTCTGCCGGGTCAGGGCCAATATGGAAGGGGTATGTCGCGATGTCAAAGCGGAATAATAAGCGGCGCTTGTCTCGTTGCCGTCAGCCGGGCGCCACACCATGATGTTTGGCAAAGCGCGGAAATGGGCGAGGGTTTCAATGGGCTGATGGGTCGGACCGTCTTCACCCAGACCGATCGAGTCATGAGTTGCGATATAGAGTACCCGAACCTGTGATAAGGCAGACAGACGGACAGAGCCAGCAGCATAGGACACGAAGTTTAGGAAAGTGCCGCCAGCCGGGATGAGGGTTCCGTAGGCAGAAATGCCGTTCATGATACCAGCCATTCCGTGCTCGCGGACACCGTAACGGAGATAGCGACCGGTCCAGTCACCTAGTCCAGTGCTTGGTGGTTGAAAGTCAACAGCATCCTTCCATCTGGTGTTATTCGACCCAGTCAAGTCAGCCGAGCCGGACAAAAGCTCGGGGATAGCGCTATGGATTTTCTCGAGAACAGTCTCAGATAACTTGCGTGACGCGATTGCAGGATCGGTTGGGGAGTATCTGGGAAGGTTCTTCTCCCAACCTTCGGGAAGTTTTCCGGAAAGCCGGCGGGTAAAATCTGCATGTTCAGCAGGGTACTTTGACGCGTACTGCTGCAGAAGTGCATTCCACTCTTGTTCCTTCGCAGCTCCTTCGGCAGCCTTTTTATGGTACAGATCGTACACTTGTTGAGGAACAACAAAGCTCTGTTCCGGGTCAAACCCGAAGCGCTTCTTGACTCCCTTGCTGTCATCAGCCTTCAGAGGGTTTCCATGGACTCCACCAGTTCCCTGAAGCTCTGAGCCAAAACCAATGGTGGTTGTGACTTTGATGACGGTTGGCTTGTCTTTCACCTCCTTTGCCATTTGGATGGCAGCCTCAATTCCTGCCAGGTCATTGTTACCATCCTCAACCCAAAGAGTGTGCCATCCGTACGCTTCAAATCGCTTCATGACGTCCTCAGTGAATGCCACTTTGGTGTCACCATCTGTATATTTGTGAGTAACCATCCTAGTGTGATTTATGCAGTGGAAAACAGATTGCCTCACCAATTGAAATATGGTTGTCATCATACAAGCAAATCAAGTTGCCCAACTGAAGGTGGCCAGCGGTGCTAGCTGCTTCACTGGCGATACCTTCCATAGCACATCCATCGCCAAAGATGCAGTAGGTGTAGTTATTGATAAGGTCAAATCCGGGTTTGTTGAACACGGCACCGGTATGAGCTTGGGCGATAGCAAGCCCAACGGCATTTGCGAACCCCTGGCCTAGAGGGCCAGTGGTTACCTCAACACCGGGAGTATCATGGGCTTCTGGATGACCGGGGGTAATACTATCAAGTCTCTGTATTGACCGTTAACATCTGAATTACGGGAGCACCAAAGTGAAGGAGCATTTAGGGGCCACTAACGCGGAAGTCCTTCAGGTCATCTAACGAGACGGCATATCCAAACAAGTGAAGTAGGGCATATTGAAGCATGCAGCCATGTCCGTTTCTATCCAGGAAGCACACAAAGTTTTAGCAAGTCTTAAATATGAAGCAAAAAATGCCCCAAATGAGGAAATGACGTAATGTTCGGAAGAAAAATAGAAAAAGTTCGGGTTAGGGGCTTCAGTGCGATTAAATCTTCTTATGCTCCTTCACAATTTCACTTGCCACGATCCAGCCTCCCTGTCGTAGTGTCATCACCTCCCAAAAAAATAGGAAGGTTGGTATCCTCGCAAATGGGTAGGGTGACATAAAACCGGAAGAGAAACACGAAGAGAACCGGGACATGGGTGGGAAAAAATTATTAACACCGCACGTACGAGAGCACGAATCGGTCCCTGTTTATCCATTGGGGATTCTTTGGATTGAAGGACATGAATTTATTGAAAAGGACATGAGCGGTGGGTGCTAGACCCATGGGGGCACCGGGATGGCCAGAGTTTGCCTTGCTGGTGGCATCAACCTGGAAAGCGGTAAAGAAAGTGCCAAAGTTAGAACTGTTATAGAGAAGAGATAGCAACTGGCATACATTGAAACAAGAATGAGGCTTGCAGAGTAATGCAGAACAGTAATGGAGACAAGGAATTAGGAGGTACGGAGTTATGACAGCTATTCCGCGTACGCCGCAGTGACCTTCCTCGATTTCAGGAACAAAACGCTTTGTGATATTGGACATGCAGACTGAGTTCTGATCGTCGAGAGGTAGAATATACTCACTGCCAGTACACGGATTGTATTAATGGCCAGTTGGTCAACGTCGTTGTAGCCCCCCATGATTGCGTAAAATAAATCTTGAATGGTGCGGAGTAATAGAGGTGCAGCTGATCTCCTAGTTACGAAATTAAAACCGGTATATAAAGGTGGTGTGGAGAAAGGAGAGTGGGAATTAGAAGATGAGAAAAGGAGATGGATATGAAGCAGCAGAAGAATGAATTGAAGAAGAAAAGATGCAGTGGGAATGAAGTGGAGTGGAGGGGAAGACGTTCGAAGCACGTTGGGGGTTCAACGATTCTGGGATTGGTGTGCCAGCAAGACGGACAAACAGGGCAGAATCGTCCCATACTGTTATTACGATTACTACTGATACTCTAGTATGGTAACTAACTAATAATAACGTAGTTAACTAGTTAACTAGTTAGTTAGTTAACTAGTTACCTATACTTAACTTATGTACTCCGTAGCTATCTAGTTAGTTTATTTTATATCTGTACTTTACTGTAGTTATTTTGTTGGGCATGTTGCCTGGGCAGCCGCCCCGCCGCACGTGATATAGGCGTATATTAGTTAGCTAGCTAGTCCTCCTCCCCGCTAATAGAGAATTAAACAACCCACATATTTCCCTCAATTTTGAGACATGACTGACAGACATACATGAAGTGGTACTGTGCGAAGTACTTTACTACAGTATTGCATGTCACATGCCCTGGAGCCTGGAGCATATAAGACATCACCAAAAACCATGAGACAATTACTTTGAAATCATAGGAAGAAGAAGCAAGGACGAAAACAATTACAGAGCAAACTCCTGGCTTCAGCAGTGATGGCGGAATCGACCCCTCGCCTCGCCTGAAGCCTGCCTACCCGGACATAGAATCTTCCAGTGTTTAACTACGATGCGGCCAAAAAAGCGACCTCAAAAAAGAACCTACTAAAAGCTCAAAGTTTTCCATCCCTCCTTGTGCAACAGCACAAAAATGTTTTTACTCAAAGTCGGATGGCCTCATTGCTGGTTCCACCATGCCTGCATTTCTACTTCACCATACCCCAATGCCAATGTGATATGGTGAGCGTGTATCAATGAAATCTTGGTTACTACTGATAGCCTTTTATTGGTGATGTGCCTCCTATGTAAAGTTTAGATCTCGGCTAAATATTTTCAACACACTAACAACATTGTTCTTCATGAGGTTACAAAGTCCTTTAAAAACCTGCAATTAATATGTTGACAATGTCTTTATATGATATTTATATAGTTACATGTCTAGATATTGAATGTAGAATTAATTTTAAATTATATGATTCATCATATTTTTAAAATATATATTTTTTATAATTTTAAATATTATATTACTATAATTAATTATAAAATTTAAAATTTAATAATTAAAAAATATATAAAAAATAATAAAGTTAAATATATTTAATATTTAATATTTAATTATAATTATAATAGTTAATTAATTCACTAGATGATAAAATATATTACATCAATGTAAAGAGTTAAGCTTTAAGAACTAGAGGCTAGTTCTTCTATATAACAAGGATGAATTGCTTGAGAAAGGGAAGAAAAGAATGAGATGAGAACTTGAGCTTAAGCAAGCTCACATAGCATGATCATGTGTGCACATGTGAATGATGGCTAGGCTGAGTCAGTCAGTCAGAGTAAATCTATAGGTTCAATCTCTTATAATATCTCTCTTCTCCCTCTTTGTTGCAGGTCTTTATGACTATTTAAAGTCCTCTTTACATCTAATTTTGCCTGCTGAGAGGCCTCCCAAGTGTTCAAGACCTTCACTTCTTGTAGAAGACTCACATCATTTCATATAGACTCAGCTCAACCTACTCATTTAACAAGGTATTGCTTTTTCCTTCAGTAGATTCATTCATTTCAAATTTCCTCAATCTCAAACTCAGATCCTTTCAGAGTCTCTATAGCAGGTGACTGCCAGTCAGTTTGTCTCTGACTAGACAGAGAATCTGTCATCACAGCATGTAGAAACTTTACATTAAAGATATTGTAAATGTCAGATGAAATATTCAGTTGATAAGCATAAGATTCTATCTTTTCTAGCACAGTATATTGATTGTATTTCATGTTCAGCTTTTTGCACAGATGATTAGTTCTCATGTTCTCTAAGCTCAATCAGATCTTATCTCCAGGTTGAAAGCTTGAAGCTGAGTCTCTTCATCTATTCATGTATTTCTCTTGAAATTGCTGAGCATCTGTCATTTTTACTTGAGCTCACTTCAACACTTCACAGATCTTTCTCATATAATCATCTGCAAACTCAATGAGATTACATAATATTTCAATGAGAGATGCATCAGCTATATCAATAGAGGAGATGTGAAAAAGATGTGTTAAAAAGAATGAACTCACACTCATTGAGACAGCATCTCTATTATTGATGATCAGCTCTGCTAGAGAGAGTCATTCACATCAGTCATTCTGTTGAAAGCTAATGTACTTGTGTAGATAGATTTTCAGAGTTTAATTCATTCACTCTGTAGCTCCATCAGTCTCTGAATGATAGACTGTGAAAAGTCATCTCTTAATGTCTAATTTCTCACACATCTAAGTTCAAAATATGCTTGTGAAAGCTGACTCTCAATCTGACACTATCATCTTAGAAATGTCATGATGAGAGATGATGTTGTGAAGAAACACTTTAGTTATTATCTCTGCATCAGTTTTCTTAACTGCTTTTAATATAATCCTCTTGATTAGTCTGTCTGTTATAATCATGATATTCATGTATTCTTTAGAGCTTGATAAGTCTACAATAAAGTTCATGGAAAGCTTCTGCCACATGTGTTCAGAAATGAGGAGAGGCTTAAGCAGTCTCTGACATTGATCTCTTCATGCAGTGTTTAATCTGCAAAGATGACAGTTTCTGATCATTCTTCTCACATCAGTGACATAGTCTGACCAGTAGAACTCACATCTTAGAACTTCTGCCATTTGCTCTTACCCAGGATGACTGGTAAGAGATGAGTCATGAGCCTCATGCACTAATCTGATTCAAAGAGGTTTGAAGTCTGGTACTCACTTATGATCTTGAAAGAGAAGCTTCTCATTCTCATTTAAAGAGTACTCAGAGATGAAGATATTAATGCTGAGTTCAGAAGAAAATCTGAATCTTTCTTTATGAAGAGTTTGCTTCAGATGCTGCAGAATCTTGTCATTTTTATGAGTCTCATTTCACTGAGCTTGAAGAGACATCTCAAGTTTCACACTGGCAGCAGTCACTATTGATTCCATTTCAGATGTCAGTATATTAAACTTAAGTAGTTGAGCTTGTCTCTGCTTGATTCTCTCATCATCAGCACTCTGTGACATGTTCTGCTCTCTTCATGATAGAGTGTCTGATTCAGCATTCAACTTCTTTAACTGGTAATCAATTCTGAAGTTGAATTGATAGAGAATACCATTCAACATAGCTGTCTTTCATTTAGTCTGCATGTAGTCATGAAGTATTCTAGATTCTTATGATCTGTGAGAATCTTGAATTTCTTTACACTTTGTAGCTCAGCATTCCATTTCTTTAAACACTCAATTATCACTAATAACTTCTTATTATGAATCTCATAGTTGCATTCTACAGGTGAATGCTTGTGAGAGAAGAAGGCACATGAATGTAGAATACTCTGCTCATCATATTATAGCAGCACTTCTCCTGAGATGTAATCTGAGAAGTTCATTTCCAATATAGTCTCACAGTCAGAGTCAAATTGAAGCAGAATTGAAGCAGAGATAAACATTGATTTTAGACACTTAAAAGCTTTCTCAGTCTTGCTCATCCACAAAAAAGAAACATTCTTGCATGTAAGAATTGTCAGTGAGATCACAATCTTTGAGAAATCTCTGATAAATTGTCTATAGAAATTGACAAAGTCTAAAAATCCTCATACACCTTTAAGAGTAGTAGGTGTTGCTCATTTCAAAATAGCTTTAATCTTCTTTGAATTCATTTGTATACCCTTGCCTGCTTCAATGATGAGTTCAAGATATTTTGTACTGTTCATCTCAAACTCACTCTTTCTGATGTCTGCCTGCAGGCCTGCTTCTCATAAATGCATAAGCATCTTTTGTACATGCTTGTGATGCTCCTGTAAGCTTCTTGAGAAAAATATCAAGATGTCATCTAAATAGACTGAGCAGAAGTCATCCAGATATTCATGTAATGCTCAGTTGATATATTTTTGAAATGTGCTCAGAGCATTGACCAAATCAAAGGGTGTAATCAGCCACTCAAATAGCCTGTATCTAGTTCTAAAGACTGTCATCCACTCATCACCTTCTGTGAATTGAATCTTGTGAAAAGCTGCAATAATGTTCAGCTTAGTGAATCATTTAGTTTGTCCAATTCACTGTAAAGTCTCACTGATTAATGATAGAGAATATTAATTCTTTCAGATGATTTTGTTAAGAGCTTGATAGTCCACACAGAATCTTAACTCACTTTCAGACTTCTTCACAAATAGTACGGGAGCAGCTGCAGAGGAGTTGCTCACTCTAATAAAACTCTTATCTAGATAATCTATAAGAGTCTTTCACAAAGCCAGTAGTTTCTCTTGAAACATATTATATAATTAGCCATAAGGGGGTTGTTCTGTGCTATTATTGACCTTTTTAATCAGTTCAATCCCATGATCTCTACCTGGGCCATGAAGTGGGGATAGAGTGTCAGTGGCTTCCTTATCAAATACATTCAAAAACTCATGATAATGTTCAGGCAGCTTTTCTCTAGGGTCAATCTTTGATTTCACTTCTAGAGTTTTTTGAATGTAAGTCAAACTGACAGTGAAGATCTTGATGTTTCACTTCTCTCAAGTGCTCACAAGTCTAGAGAAGCTTACAGCAGAGATGGGAATCACATCAGCTTTTGCATTTGAACTAGACTCTACCTCTATGCCACTCTCTTCAAATCTCACAATTCTTTGATAAGGGATCACAGTCACCTTTTGCTGGGCCAGCCAGAGGTCATCTAGATACATATCATGATCATGTAACTCATTCACCATGTAGAGAAAGGCCTGTTCAGTTATATGATCATCTATATCAATTTGAATGCCAGTCACTATGCTCATGGAGAGTCTCATAGAGTCTTCAAAGCTGGTTATTTTAACAGAGGAAATTTCAATGCACAGAAGCTTATGCTTGTTAATGTTGAATTGAGAAATAAGATCATAGATATTACATTCACTGTCTATCATTGCTCTAGTTGAAAAGGCATTATCTACTAAAGCATCAACAGTGAAGGGTTTGAATATTATCTTAGATTTAAATCTTCTTCATTGCTTTCTTATAAGCTTCTTATTTCACTCCTTTCAGTGTCTTTTGATTGAAGCTACTCTTTTTTCAAATCCTCACTCATATCCACATTATCATTGTCCAGCACCAGCTCAGGGATCACCTTAGCTATCATGGAGGTGGCAGAGTGTTTGAGAGGTTTAAACAGACAGCTCTTAATCATATGACCTCCAGCTTCACATCTCAGGTACAGGCCTTGCTCTCTTCATCAATTAATCTCTGTCTGATTTATCAATTTGACATAGTGAGTGCTTGAGGTCACAGCACCAGGAGAAAGATTCATCAGATCATCAGTGAAAGCTTGAGACTAATTTCATCAGTCAAGAACAGCATGATGAAGTAGAGAGTGTGAATTAGATATTGTATGATCTGAAGAAGATCTATTCTCACAATGTTTAGATCACTGTCTTAAAGTCTTAAGTTTAGAGAGTTGATGATCAACTAATCTAAGCTTTCTGCAGTAATTCTCATAGAGAGACAGTTCTCTTACACCCACCATGCCTTCCTTCAGCTCCATGCTTAGAGTGGATTTCAAATACCTCTTTTTAACATGATCATCTCATCTGTGACCACCAGCTTCCAGCAGTAGCTGATTAAATTCAGGCAGAAAATCAAAGAGAGCTCTTCTACTCTGTCATAGATTGTTAAGCTTTTGTATAGTCTTTTCTTGTCATGCAGAATCACTAAAGAGTATGTGTGTCTGCTTCAGTAAGCTCTCTATCATGAAGTTGATCTTGTTCTTATTATTCTCAACTCAGAGGTAAACTCAAGCTGCTGTCATTTCTTTCAGTCTTGAGTACATATATCAAGCACATTCCTCATTATTATCTAAAGCTTTCCCATTGATCTTAAGTTTTGATTGAAGCTTTAGCTCTCACTGAGAGTATTGCTTCAGATTAGAATCATCATACTTCTCACAGTTCAGTAGCTTAATCTTTGATCTTCTGACTGCAATGAGTAATTACAGGTTCAATTGAAAGAGGATTGATGTTGAGATGTTCAAAGCTTGTCATAGATTAGCTATTTCAGCTTGCTGAGCTGCTATTAAATCCCTGTTCTCACACTGGACCTGTTCCTGCTGTTGGAGAAAGGCTATTCATTGTTGTTTGAAGCTGCTGAGGACATCCCTGCTCATTGCTTCATGTTGATCCATTTGTTGTACAAGTCTGCCACTTTATCTCATTCAGCTAGATATTTTCAATGTTGCTTGTTCATTTGTTAGCATGATTGCTAATCCAGTCTATTCATATATCAGTGCTATCACTAAACTTCATGATGCAGGATTTAAGACTCTCAATAGTCTATCATATGTCAGCATGTTTGCTGAGCTTCATGATACAGGATTAAGACTCCCAGTGGCCTATCAATGAAAGGAGTGAAGCAATTTGTAATGTAAAGGGTTAAGCTCTAAGAACTAGAGGCTAGTCCTCCTATATAACAAGGATGAATTGCTTGAGAAAGGGAAGAAAAGAATGAGATGAGAACTCGAGCTTAAGCAAGCTCGCGTAGCATGATCATGTGCGCACATGCAAATGATGGCTAGGCTGAGTCAGCCAGCCAGAGCAAATCTAGGGGTTCAACCCCTTATAATCAATAATGTGATACATACAAGCAGCTATTTTCAAATGTCTTTGTAGCTCTTGACTCATATATATCTCTAACATGCTGGAGACATCAATGTATGAATGTTCAATGCTCTCTTTTCGTCCCTTCATGTAAATATACATTTCCCTCCCTGAAATGTGGATTACAGTGGTTATCATCACGTGAGATAATCAACTCCATGTCACCGGCAGCAAAAAAGGGGTAAGTATACAACTTCTTTAAGAACACAGAAGAAGCATGATATCACATACAACCCAGGAAAGGAGGTATGAAGAAACAAACATTTGCAACAACAGGGAGAATCGTCAGCAACCGAGCTCTGAATTCGATTGCCTGCCTTTTTCCTCCAAGCGAGGATTGACACCTGAATCAAGTGAAGAACTGTGGTTATACTCCCAAGCTCCATTGGAAGATCGTCATGATCTTCTTCGTCCCTATTTTTCTCTCAATTCGATCTGCGCAGGTCGAGCAAAGGGTTTATTCCTTCATGTGAATAATAGTGAGCGGTTTATCCCTTTCCAAAACGTTTCCCATCCTGAGAAAGAACCCGGGCCTTGAGAGCGGGGAGTCTGATATTTGAACGCGAGCTAAGGTTTCCTCCGCCTTTATAGACAAACCTTTGCTTCCTCTCTCTCTTTCTCCCCTTCCCTCCACCCTGCCACCGGCTATATCTGTTGCAGTTTAATCGATTTCCAAACAGTTCTTTAACCACGTACAGCTAACGTACCTTTGTTGATTGGTATTGTTCAAATAAATTGAGAATTCTAATATCGATTCACAGTCCTGCTCGCCCACGCCCACTGAACATTTCACAGCTATTTTTGAAGATAAAAAAGCCTGAAACAATAAGAGTGTCAGATTATGAAGATGATCAACCACATCTTCCCTGTGGAGCTAGCTTAATTTGATCTACACTTATGCTAACAACCCATTTATCATCTAATCATCAAATAGCATATAACTCATACACCTACAAACCACTATATCAGTGCTGAAGTACCCGCATTTTGGCGGCACTGTGAATGCTTATCGAACGCCCATGGCCACTTTTGCATCCTTCATGCCACAATAACCATAGAGGAAACTTCCCGAACCACCTTATGCTTATACCACGGCACCGCTAGATATACACGTATAAGCAGGAGCCTCGCCCACTTCGCTCTCAGAAACAAAGGAAAACACAGAAAGAAGACACCCAGCATGGAGAGCAACTATGCAAAAGACCTTATATTTCGATGATTGAGCTCACCTAGAGCAGTTTAATTGCGGTATGCGATGCTTCGGAGCTGCCTGGGCGAATGAGAGTCGAGAAGGTTGGGATTGCGCCACATCCTCGAATTGTGCCCTTTCCCCAATAGAAAGAGACGAAGCGAAGAAGCAACAAAGAAACTTCGCAGACTTGACGTAGTCGGACCCGCCTCGCTTGTGTTTTCCTAAAGGGGCAATTAGATCGGGTATGACAGGTTGTTTTGGTAAGACCTTTGCATGTTTTTCTCGCCGCAATTGCTAAACATTGGAAAGTTCTCGCTAACGGCTTTCGAGGTCCATGCGGTGTGCGGTCCGGTGTCCGGCTGAGACTGGTAATATTCTGTCATCTCAAGCTTAGGATTCGAGATTTAGGATTACGGTATATCCCCGATATGGTTGATGCTACAGCATCTCCTCACCGGGTTTTCTGTTCAATATTGACTCACCGGCGTCCACATATTCTATTAGAAGAGCATTCCCACTAGTTGCTAACGCCGAATTAGGATATTTGTATATGGTTGCACCCAGGGTACTTCTTAGCTTTGGTGTCATTCCAAACACTGAACAAGAAAATGGGGAACATATATCTGTCGAATTTATAAACCCTACTGCTATATAAAGCCAAGTCGGCACCTTCAGTGGAGCAGTGAGGATTAACTCCGCCATCTTACCCCTAGGATACTGAACTTAGAAAGATATTTAGGAAAACGGTTGTATTTTGATGAGTCTAGGTCTCTCGGATTTTGACAAGCTTTTAGACAACGTGTGAAGTGGGGTTCGGTTAGTATGAAGAATTATTTCAATGAAACCTTCGAGGTTGACCCGAGAGTAACCAAAAGAGGCCATGCTTGATGATGGCGATGGCGATGACGAATGACGAAAAGGAAAACTTTATTCCCGGACATTCTGATTTTATAGAAAAAGAAATCGGGGGAAGTTTGATAAAGTTGGCGGAGATTTTTACACCCATCTTCCTAACTCAAGTTAACCAGTTTGGCTTCATGGTTTAGTTAATATTTCGAAGTAGATAATTAGCATATTATTAACCGCAGAAACAAAATCCACATTTGGCTTTTTGCCCTGGTTATTTTAACTCCCAGTCAAACTTTTAAGAATTTCCATTTTCGTCTTTTACTGAGTTACAGGAATTCATCCATGGATCACTCTCATTCTCTCACTTTTTTTTCAACCTTCTCCTTGGTAACTTAAAATCTACCTACGATCCTAATATCCCATATCTCTTAGTTCCAGGGTTTGACTTGCATACACAATCTCAGACCCTCTTTGTTGCCTCATTCTCTTGCATTCTAGCTCTCTCCCTGTAGGCCATCTCTATGTCTCAATCGGAATGAGAAAGTGAAATGACCTCACTTCGCTAACCAAAAACTGAGCATTGTTACAATGACTAATGAAAACATAATTTGAAAGCAAGATATAAATAAATATAGAAATAACCATAAAACATAAAGAAGAAATCATAAGATTAAAACTGTGGTTGTCAGAGTATCTAATTGTTCTCTGGACATGGAAGATTCATCTGATCTGAGAGATTTTGAATCATGTTCTTCTGTAGCATAGCACAGATATGCATACGTATGTACAACACAGTTAGAACTAGATCCCACAGTTTCATATTTTAATTTTAACATGTCTTATATTTTGTATAGTTAAGTGAATTATTATCTAAGCTGTCTGTTGTGAGAGATCAATGTAAAAGATTCAGCTTCCTGATGTCTGAAGAAAAGAAATTAAGACAACAGCAAGAGATAAAAAAAAAAATAAATGATTACTAAATAAATTAATGGAAATGAAGATACCAACAGAATATACGCATATGAAGATCAATACTATCAAGTAGCAAGGTACATATACTGTACGAACTTACAAGTCACAAAAGTGCTAAGGTATAAAAGCCCAGTACCTTAAAAAAACATCTCATATATGCTTGCCAGTGGGGTCTAACAAAGGGGGAAATATAAGAGCAGAAATGGTAGAAGAAAAAGAAAAGGTTGACTTATTAGCCATTAACATTTGCCAAATACCCCCTAATAAAAGCAAATCAGATCACAAGAGAAAAAAAAAGACAAAATACCAATACAAATGTGCCAACAAATACAGTGAAGTTTCACCAAATGTGGCTCTGTTCTATACGCTTGGTATTAAATAGATATAGACGCATGATTCCAGCTACCCAAACCTAACATCGCTCCGTCGCGCCATTAAATAATATGTAAAGTTGAAAATAAACAGGCAAGCGGGGAGAAATGGGGGCTGAAGGGAAGAATATGAACAGAAAACATCAAAAGGCACTGGGGAAGAGAACTGGAATAACAGAACATAGAAAAGCAACGCAGAAATCGTGGTATGTCCAGAGCACAGCAAGTGGTCAAAAAAAAAAAAAAAAAAAAAAAAAAAAAAAACTATAGCAAACTACTCGTTTCCATTCTCTGTACTACTTGAAAGTACACATATAGTGTCCCATTCAATAAAACGAGAAGGATATAAAGTTATATTTGAACCGGCTGTAATTCGATTTTCCTCTTATCTTTTTCATTGACGTCATGCCGGTTGGCGCAGAGTCCAGGTATCAACAACACCACCACCACCGAAATCAGGAGGGTGATCAAGCGGCCCGAGGCTCTGGGGTATCTGGATACCATCAAGCCCTTCGTGGTGTGGTGGGGGAGGGGGTGGTGGGGGTGTTTGTTGGGTCATCATCTCGCATGTTTTTCCAATCGTCGCCGGCGGTGACAGTTCTTCCATAGCTCCCATGGTATCCTCAGAATAACTCACGGCGCTAGGTGCTGACTGGGGGTGCATGTCACTGCTCGAAGAGGATGACCATCCTTCAGGTGACCAGGCTTTCATCTCATGAGAAGATGGTGGGACAGACATTGACGAAGGGGGATTTTGTGGATACTGGAAAGCCGGGGTGAGATGAGAACCAGAAAATGAGGCAGCTCCTACATCACCACATTCCCCGCCGCCATAGATTCCATTGAATATGTTTGTGTGTCCGCTATCCATGTCGCCAAGGACATTATCCCACTCAGACACTGCATAGCCGTGTGTGGAAGTGTTGGAGGGTGTGGGGGTCGTTTTCATTTCAACTTTCTCATCGCCAAGTGGGAGATAATCCAGGTTGAGGTATTCTGAAGGAAGGTCAGACGAGGAGCGAGGGGTTACCGCTGTCATTTCCGGGTTCGCTGATGAGGAGATGCTGACAGAGCTTGATGACCGGATACTCCGTGGACATAGTTCTGGACTTGAGTTCGCAATGGACTTGGAAACAGTACTTCTGCGCATATCGTTATCCTTGGATCGCCCAGCGCCCAAGGTGAAGGAGTGGCGTGATTCCAGAGACGGAGCTTTCCTGGGAGACTTGCATTTCGGGGACCGGCCTGGCATTTCCGGGTTTGATTTTTGTTGATGTTCTGACTTAACATGTTTGAAATCCTCGAGCGGAGAAACAAGGTTTAAGATGTTAGTAAATTCGGCCGCCGCTTCGGTAGATTCGCATTCCACTAGTGAAGCAGCTGATGAAAGAAGTTTTTGCGCTTCCTTCACGAGCTTGCATTCGGGCCCAAGATCAATATTCTGCCACAGCAACCCAAGGCTGGCAAGCACTATTAATTCTCTTCTGTTAATGGCAAAT